TGTTTAATTAACGTAAATTTAACATAAAACATTTTCTACATAATACCTGCCACAATGTCAGATGAGTTTGGAAAGCACCCTTTTAACCAAAAGGCATTCTGGGAACAAGAAAAACCTTAGTGTTTTGAATGGAGGAGTTTTATTTAATTAAGATTTCTAATGGAAAGAGCAAATTTGTAATCTGATACATGTACTTTATATTTTATTGTTTCTAAGAATAATTTTTTTGTTACTAGAGGTGGGGTAGTGATAATCGCATCCTATCCTTATTTATTTATTTTTTTTGAGACAGAGTCTTGCTCTGTCGCCCAGGCTGGAGTACAGTGGCACGATCTTGGCTCACTGCAGCCTCCACTTCCCAGGTTCAAGTGATTCTTCCACCTCAGCCTCCCTTAGCTGGGATTACAGGTACACGCCACCATGCCCAGCTAATTTTTGTATTTACTTTGTAGAGACAAAGTATCACCGTGTTGGCCAGGATGGTCTTGAACTGCTGACCTCAGGTGATCCACCCGCCTCAGCCTCCTAAAGTGCTGGGATTACAGGCATGAGCCACCGTGCCCGGCTCTTTTTTGTTGTTGTTATTTTTACTAAATTAAGAATAAACATGTTTTATTTTTTGCTCATTTTGACTGTTTTCATAGTTGTTAATCAGACTTTATAAAGCAGTTTATTGTCCCCTTTGGAAAAAGATAGCTAAAAATCACCAGTATCCTCATACAGATAACTGATTCATTGGTCTGATGTTGTAGTCCTCTTGATTTCTCACCCCATCCCTCCTATGTTCTATTTGTAACTTCATTTACAATATATTATGCTTTTTTTTCCATATCTGACTACATTTCTCCATTTTAAACTTTTATAAGTAATTTATAAAAGGAAACAAAGATTGCCACGTGGAATTGAGAATAAAAGTTTATCTTTCTACTGTTAAGTATGCATGGTAAATCAATGGCTGAATGCTCTGAAATTACTAAGACAACATTAAAGGCTGATTCTAAAATGTTTTTATTTAGATTGACATCTACTTAAACTATATACCAAACTGGGCTTGGGACGTAGGCTTTAGAAAGTATCGGTAATAGTGCATTCTTGTTAAGTTTGGGATTTTTGCCAGTTTTTGGATTCTGTGGGCTTGTCTTAAGGTACTTCTGTGAACTTTTCAACGGTTTGTAAAACTAGTGTAAATAAATATTCTACCCAGTTGAGAATTAAGGTTTATTGTGCTAAAAATTAAATGGTGGTTGATTCTTGGCAGACATGTTTGATCACCTTTGCAAGCTTAAGGCATCTTTTGGAGTGTGTGTCTTGGAATCTACAAATTCTAAGTTTCTAATTGATGACTTGGCAATTAAATCCGGTCTCAGCTCTAAACTTAAATATTCTGGAATATGTACCACCTGTGATACACATAAATTACCCATCTCAATCTAGACAAAAGCCATTTGAGTCTGGAAACAGTCCAGTTTTACAGCTGAATAACTAGGGGAGCCTGGGTTTGAATCCAAGTGTAGATGACTCTAGAATGCTTCCACTTTTCTAACTTAATTAAGTAGAGGGGCCTGTCTATAGATGAGTGGTTTTCAGAGTGTGCTGTAAGGCTCTGTACAGATCTTTTGGAGTTTGATAAACAGTGAAATACCTTTTGCTTGAGAAATAATCAGTCATCTTTTTGTTGTATACATTTTGGTTCTCTCATAGTTCTGTGGAAGTTTCTCTAAAATATATGAAATTTTCTTCTCTAGGGAAATTTAAGACCTGTTGAATGAATAAATATTAGAAAATAAAAATACAGACCGGGCACAGTGGCTCAGTACTTTGGGAGGCCAAGCAGGCAGATTGCTTCAGTCCAGGAATTCGAGACCAACCTGGGCAACATGGGGACTCCCTGTCTCTACAAAAAATACAAAGAAAATTAGCGAGAGTGGTGGTGCCAGCCTGTGGTCTTAGCTACTGGGGAGATTGAGGTGGGAGGATTGCTGGAGCCCAGAAGACCCAGGCTGCAGTGAGTGTAGATTGTGCCACTGCACTCAGACCTGGGCAACAGTGAGACCCCGTCTCAAGAAAAAAGAAAAAAAAAATAGTTCTGGCACGACTGTGTCTATTTTCAATTATATTTCTTTTCCTAATGTTGTTTTGTGTAGCCTGTATTGTAAAATGAGGTTGAGGTGATTGGACACACTGTTAATAGAGTGAGGAAGTGGGTAGAGTTAAAATTTCTTGCTGAAAGTGGGTAATCTGCAGTTCCTTGCATTGGGTTCACTCCTCACTGCCAGCTCTTGCTGCATTTGGAGGCTGCCCTAAGCATGATGTAATGACAGGTTAAACCTCTGCACGCACTAGCTGATGCAATGCAAATCTGAGGCCCAGGACTTTATTGGGGCAAGGGTAATGCTTGTTTAAAAACAAAACAAGCTACTCTGTGTTTAATGAGGCCATTTAAGATGGCTTTCCCAGAGTGGGAAGAGTATAATCTCTTAGGAGGTTTAAGTAGGAGTTTAATGTGGCAGAAGTGTGCTTACAACTTTTCCTGCGAAGTCTTTTCACAGCGGGGAAGGAGAGTTTAAAATATAGTGCCCATAGGAGTAGAAATGAAGTGAGCTAGAATTGAGTAAATATGGTAGTTGATGCCCGGTAAATAGCTGTTGAATGAATTAAGGAGAATGTTTTCACTCTAAAAATTTAGTTTGCACGATGAACCGGGAATGTAGCGCCGGTGTGGGCACGCATTTCCCAGATACGCCAGATACGCTGTAGCTCTTAGATCGAACCGTGAGAAACTGCCAATATTCGACTGTTGTGACCTACCGAAAACAGCATGGTTCTACCTAATTTTAAACTGGTGGAAATGCTGAGGAAGGCTCGATGTCGCTGGGGTGGGATGGGGTCAACAGCGGGGTGGCGGGGCCCCGCCCTGGGCTGCGGGGCGGGGCTTGCGGGCACAGCCCCACCCCTGCGCGAGCAAGACGGGCACCGCCCTGCGCGCTGCGCGCCCTGAGCTGGCCCTGGCGCCCCGGGTTGGAGTGGGCGTTCCCAACGCAGGCCCAGCCCCGGCCGAGGCTCCAAATGGCTCTCCAGCAGGCAGGCTTCTGCAGTAGCCCCTGAGCTGGCTCAGGGAGCGCACTTCCTTCGCAGTGAGCGCGTCGCCCCCTGCATCCCCGGCCTCCACCGGAGCTGGGCAGTAGCCTACGGAGTGAATCTGGAGAAGACAAACTTGGGAGACAGACGAAAGCTTAGGGCACACTGGAGGACAGCGCAGCTGTGGCTCCCATTTTTGGAGATGCAGCCGAATTTGAGCTCACAGGGAGGTGTGGTTGCCTCCTGGGGATGGGAAGGCTTCCTTTCTCCACCTCTGTAACTCGTGCTTCTGAGAAGTAAATGGATATTTGGATCCTGACCTCAGACGCGAATTTGGGTCTTCTGTGCTTAGGAGCAGAAAGTGCCCAGGAGGGGCCTGTTCCTTTACTTCTTGGGGGAAACGCAATGCGCGGCCTGACTTCTCATGACGGGAAAGGCTACTCCACCTTCTCTGTACTCCTGGAGGGGAGTCTTGTTCACATGTTTACCAGCGGCCAGGACAAGGAAGAGAAAAGGTATTGACATTAAGAGGATAGGTTGCTGAGGCTATGAAGCTTGAACGCTATTAGTCAGTGGAACCTGTCTGGCTTAGGGAATGGCTGCAGCAGAATCCAGCCGTTTCCGAGGTTCTCAGTCATGTTTCATTTGGGTTGCTGTGCTTTTTTATGTTTAAATCAAACTTCAGGTTACGTCATGACTTCTGCAGGGCTGTCCTTAGTTCCTACTGCAGGGCGGCTGTGTGGTTGGGATTCCTTTTCTGTTTCAAGATGGAGCTGGGTTCCACCCTTGGAGCTTTGAGAGGCTTTAGCAGTTGCTGTCCTGTAATACCTCCATTCACAAGAAATACCGTTCACATTTCAGTTCTTTTTCACACTTTGAATAGGAGTTAAAATGTGCTTTCTATAGTGTTTGGAAAATGGTAAAGATGTATTGTGAGCCTGAACTGTTGATGATAAATGTATAACTATTGCTAGGTCAAGAAATTGTGAACAACAGTGTTTTTCTCGGTCTCTAGCTATGTTGTGTTAAATATAAACTGAGTTTACTGCCCTTGGATGTGATTCCTTGGTTTGGTTTAGTAATCTGAAAGGCATTGGTTGACTAGACTGTTTTGTGCCCAAGGAACCACTTTGTAATTGTTATGCTGCTTACTGAAGTAAACTGGACCATGCAGTAGGCATACAGCATACAGCCAGGGTGTTTTGGCAATACTGAGCCCACTGTTTTACAAGTGACATAAAATGGATGTCATATGTACAAAGAATCTACTCAGAGGGAAACTGGATTACAGGAGAGCTCCTTTATAGTCCTTTGTCAGGGGACAGAACACCTGGGTCACACTGGGCTTCAGATGAGAGTTGATTCATGTTCTGAGTCCGTATGATGAGACACATTATGATGGAATTCTGTCACTTTTGTTGCCTCTTGAACTTTAAAATATCCTTTTAGTGATGTGGAATTAATCTTTATTTTTCCTTCACCCTAAGCCCTCATTTAAGCTATCAGTTGGTAACCACTTGGGTAATCTAGAAACCAAGTTGCATTTACTTGGTCACATTGGTAACCAACATTGTTTCTTAAAAGTTCCCTGCAACAGAATAATGACTATAATTGAATTAAAACATTAATTTTGAAGCTTTAATTTTGTAATATGGCTTAGTGGCCGGGCGCAGTGGCCAATGCCTGTAATCCCAGCACTTTGGGACGCCGAGGCCGGGGAATCACGAGGTCAGGAGTTTGAGACCAGCCATGGTGAAACCCCGTCTCTACTAAAAATACAAAAATTAGTCGGGCATGGTGGTAGGCACTTGTAATCCCAGCTGCTTTTGAGGCTGAGGCAGGAGAATTGCTTGAACCTGGGAGGCAGAGGTTGCAGTGAGCAGGCACCATTGTACTCCGGCCTGGGCAACAAGAGCAAAACTCCATCTCAAAAAAAAAAAAAAAAAAAAAAAAAGAATATGGCTTAGTAGAGTTACTAGGAGTGCACTCTTAGGACATCGACTGATCTTTTTTTCCACCCCCAAGACAAATAGTGGCCTGCAATATCCCAGCCCAGGTAGCTTCCTGGGAAAAGTTGCTTGTTTTATGTTTGACTCAGCTTGACTAGTTACATTGTCGATTATTTCTTCCAGATGACATTTACTTGTTAAATAACGTTGATTACTCTGCTGATGAATGTTTCAGCAACGCTGGAGAACCCTAGGCTGCAAGGGGTTCTTCACCTGTTGACTTCATCCCCCACCCCCAGTATGGTATATTATCTCTGCCGTGCTATCATCTTTATTCTTTCCTTTTTCACTGTCTCTTCCTGACTCTCCTCCTTTGTTCATTATGTCTGATACATATTGTGGATTGAAAGTGGAACAGAAAGATGTACTTTCTCTACCAGACTAAAAAGTTTTGAGATGGCCCTCCATTTCTCCTATGTCTCCCTTCACCTTTGTTGTGTGTTTATTTTTATATTTTTGCTACCTTCACTAGCGAGTACATCCCCTCACTCTTGAGGTGGGCACTAATCAGTAAGAAATAAGATTAATACCTGGCTGATGATAATTTGGGGGGAAGACTTAATTAGGTAAAGATGGATAATGGGATGGCAGCAGACCTTTCCCCTTGTGACCCCTCCCCTCATTCCCAAAGTACACCTCTAGAGTAGATAATGGCTTACCATTAAGAAGAGTTAATGGAAGGTTCTCTGATTCTTTGGCATTGGAACTACACTTGTCCCGCGGTATCCTCGGAAGATTAGTTCTAGGACCCCCTTCCCCATACCAAAACCTGAGGATGCTCAAGTCCCTGATAGAAAATGGTGTCGTATATGTATGTGCATATTCTCCTGTATAATTTAAATTATCTCTGGATTACTTAATACAATGTAAATAATACGTAAATAGTTGTTATAGACTGTATTTTAAAAATTTTGTATTATTTGTAAATTTTTCTGAATATTTTCAATCCATGGCTGTGGTGAAGTCCTTGGATGCAGACCGTGTGAATACAGAGTGCCGATTTTATCCAGGACTTCACCTGTAACTCCCTATACCTATCAATAGCTGACTCCAAATTAGAAAGAAATAAGAGTAAGGGAGTCTCAGGGAGAGAGTCCTAGCAAAACGGATTCGATTAAACTTCAGTTCTTTGTATAGTTTCTCTAGTTGTTTATGGTCCATCTTCTATTTTAGCATTTATTATTCCATGTAGTCTATCCAAAGACGATTAAGGGAGTTCCAAATGTTTTCCGGAATATTTTGAAAAGAGAGCTTATCCAGTGTACAGATCCTAATAAAGTGCACATTCAGTGTAATTTTATTTTTTAGTATGTTACTTTTTAAATTCTATTTATTTTTCTTTCTCTTTTGCTCAGTAAATTTTGCATGAAACTTTAAAAGTACTTCTGGCATGTAAACATTATTTGTAAAATAAGTCATGGTTATAATTATTTTTCTCCTGCCTCCTTATGTATTTATTTCAGAAATGAGCCGTCAGACTGCTACAGCATTACCTACCGGTACCTCGAAGTGTCCACCATCCCAGAGGGTACCTGCCCTGACTGGCACAACTGCATCCAACAATGACTTGGCGAGTCTTTTTGAGTGTCCAGTCTGCTTTGACTATGTGTTACCACCCATTCTTCAATGTCAGAGTGGCCATCTTGTTTGTAGCAACTGTCGCCCAAAGCTCACATGTTGTCCAACTTGCCGGGGCCCTTTGGGATCCATTCGCAACTTGGCTATGGAGAAAGTGGCTAATTCAGTACTTTTCCCCTGTAAATATGCCTCTTCTGGATGTGAAATAACTCTGCCACACACAGAAAAAGCAGACCACGAAGAGCTCTGTGAGTTTAGGCCTTATTCCTGTCCGTGCCCTGGTGCTTCCTGTAAATGGCAAGGCTCTTTGGATGCTGTAATGCCCCATCTGATGCATCAGCATAAGTCCATTACAACCCTACAGGGAGAGGATATAGTTTTCCTTGCTACAGACATTAATCTTCCTGGTGCTGTTGACTGGGTGATGATGCAGTCCTGTTTTGGCTTTCACTTCATGTTAGTCTTGGAGAAACAGGAAAAATACGATGGTCACCAGCAGTTCTTTGCAATTGTACAGCTGATAGGAACACGCAAGCAAGCTGAAAATTTTGCTTACCGACTTGAGCTAAATGGTCACAGGCGACGATTGACTTGGGAAGCGACTCCTCGATCTATTCATGAAGGAATTGCAACAGCCATTATGAATAGCGACTGCCTAGTCTTTGACACCAGCATTGCACAGCTTTTTGCAGAAAATGGCAATTTAGGCATCAATGTAACTATTTCCATGTGTTGAAATGGCAATCAAACATTTTCTGGCCAGTGTTTAAAACTTCAGTTTCACAGAAAATAAGGCACCCATCTGCCTGCCAACCTAAAATTCTTTTGGTAGGTGGAAGCTAGACACATGAAGGTAAATGAAAGGAAAGGCTGTTAAATACAGGAAACAGTTGCATGTAGTAACACTAATATATTTAAAAATAAGTCAACAGTAAACCACTGAAAAAATATATGTATATACACCCAAGATGGGCATCTTTTGTATTAAGAAAGGAAGCATTGTAAAATAATTCTGAGTTTTGTGTTTGTTGTAGATTGATTGTATTGTTGAAAAATAGTTTTTTTGTTTTGTTTTTGCGTGGGAGTGTGTGCGTGCGTGGGTGTGTGCGTGTTTGGGTTTTTCTCCTTTAACTGACAAGCCATCTTGAGTGGTCATGGGCCACTGCTTTTCCCCTTTGTGAGTCAATACATAGTGCTGCTGTGTGCTTTTTTGTGTGTGTATTTGCTAATTTTTATTAATTTTAGTTTTTCATTAAATAAATTTGACTTTCCTTTCTGTAATTCAGGTTTTTCTTCACTTTTTTTGTACCATTTTAAAGTTAGTGTCTTTTGATATGCATACTTGTTATGGTAAAAGTTTGTAACATGTGTTCAATATTTTCTTTTCCCCCATTAATCAGTTCATTAGAAATATTTTAAAATCAGCTACTTTGTGAAGCTATGAGTTCCAGAAAGTAAAGGTGACATCGGAAAAATGATCAAAAGCTATTTAAAGCATCTGTAAGATGGTCTCTCTCTTTCTCTCTTCTACGGATGAGTCACACCTTTGAGCTTAATCTTTGAAAGGTTAGAGAATAAATTGATTTTTATAAGTACTGCAAATCAGGCTTTTGTTTCCTTTTTCAAATATCTTGGATAAATCACATGTTTAAAATTTGTTCTTGTATTTATTGGTTTTGCAAAAGAAGGCATCGTCATGCACAGTATTTGTAATTAAAAGCAAATCATTTGTTTAAAAAGGCAGTTTGCAAAAAAATGTTTTTGGTCTTTTATAATTCTCATTAAAAGAATTTCTGGCAAATTAAAAAAATCTTACTGTGTCTGCTTTAGCTCTAAGTTTGATAAAATCCAAAGTTATTTTCCTGTTTCATTCCGTACTTTAATTATATAGCAGAAAGCTGTGTGTTGTCATTTTTAAGTGTGGTAGAGTTATACTCTAAATCACAGCAAATAACTGGGTATATGGCTTCTGGATTACAGTCTTTCCCATGCTCTGCCCCTCTTGCCCACATTTTGATTCTTACAACTGTCAGGAGAATGACTAAAATGCTGACCACTTTTCACCTCTTTAAAAAAGCACAATGAAATAATAAATTTACTATTTCATAGCCTAGTGGTTAAGAGCCTTGGTTCTGCAGCCAGACTTCAGACACCTAAGTGCCAGTCTCGGCTCTACCCCACTAACCAGCTGTGTGACCTTGGGCCCCAGTTTCCTAATGTGTAAAGTGGGGTTAAATTATGGTAGCTACTTAAAAAGTTTTAATGGGGTACAGGTATGTTACCTGAAACAGTGCTTTGTTCATATCAGCATCCAGTGAATGTTAGCTACCATTATGCCTTTAGTACCATGTAGTTAACTGTTGCTAATTACTTTGAGGCACATGGCAAGATTCTGAAATTGCCTTCTGAATAGTGAAAGATAATTTTGTGTGGTTTGTATTGGTACTGTAAGCCTAGAAAGTTAATGAAAATTTGGACTTCACCCTTATCCCACCACTGATTCTGGATAATTTTGGATAAGAGTTTATTTCTATTATCCATTTTCAGAAAAGATGATTGTGTAGTCTCATCCTTATGTCAATATTATCTTTTGAACTGGTTATAATGTGCTTGTGGAGCCTTTGTTCTTTTTTTTTTTGAGACGGAGTTTAACTCGTCGCCCAGGCTGGAGTGCAGTGGTGTGATCTTGGCTCACTGCAACCTCGGCCTTCCGGGTTTAAGTGGTTCTCCTTCCTCAGCCTCCAGAGTAGCTGGGACTATAGGTGCGTGCCACCATGCCCGGCCAATTTTTGTATTTTTAGTAGAGACGGTTTCACCATGTTGGCCAAGATGTTCTGGATATCCTGACCTTGTGATCTGCCTGCCTCCCAAGTGCTGGGATTATAGGCGTTAGCCACTGCGCCCGGCCTTGCGTAGCCATTTTTATGGTGAAAGAGAATAACAGTTCAACCACAGATTTATATTCAGGTCTGTTCATTAGCATATGTGCTTGGAAAAAGCGACTTTTATTCCATATTTAATGTTGTATGGTAAAAGGATTACTTAACAATATGTAAAAGGGCTCCCAATATCTTTCAGAATAAAAGTGGCTGGGCACTGTGGCTCATACCTGTAATCCCAGCACTTTGGGAGGCCACGGTGGGCAGATCACTCAAGGTCAGGAGTTCGAGACCAGCCTGGCCAACATGATGAAACCCTGTCTCTACTAGAAGTACGAAAAAGCCAGGCATGATGGCACACCCTATTAGGGAGGCCGAGGCAGAACCCCTTGAATCCAGGAAGCGGAGGCTGCAGTGAGCCAAGATCGTATCACTACACTCCAACCTGGGTGACAGACTGAGACTCTTGGCTCAAAAAACAAAACATTGGGTATATTCGTGGAGGTATATCATTTTGTAGTTTTAGTATTTTAAAGTATGTTGATTATAAAGTATGTGTCCATCATGTAGACTTTGGAAATTATAAAACTGCACATACAATTGAGATCTATAGTCTTGCTATTCACTCAGAGGTGGTTTTTCCAGTTTTTTGTGTGTATGTGCATGTGCTCATCCTGTCACCCAGGCTGGAGTATAATGGTGCAGTCAGCTCACTGCAGCCTCAAACTCCTGGGCTCAAGTGATCTTCCCACCTCAGCCTCTTGAGAGCTGAGAGTACAGGTGTATAGCATCATGCTTGGCTAATTAAATTTTTTTGTAGAGATGGGGTCTCGCTATGTTGCCCAGGCTGGTCTCAAACCCCTTGGGCTCAAGTGATTCTCCTGCCTTGGCCTCTTACAGTGCTGGAATTACAGGCATGAGCCCCTGACTCCAGCCACATGTTTATTTTCAAAGGTACTGGGAGCCCTTTTATGTATTACTGTGTAGCCCTTTCATCACACAACATGCTCATCTGAGTGTTTCACCACTTTAATAATCTTGGAAGAACAATTTTTGTTTATGAGGATTCACTAATTTTAGGTTCTTGTTGGATATTTACTTGGTAATTTATTGGTTATTTATAAATAAACCATGAACATATCTGTATGTTTTCTGTGTATAGTCTTGGGATTATTTTTTACATACTTCATCATTGCTTTCTGGAGAGGTTCCAGAGGACACCAGTAGCAGTGTGAAGTTTTCCATTTTCATTTTCACCTCATGGTTTGCTAATTTAAGCAAATTAAGGTAGTACATTTTGTGTTTGACAGTTAATAAGCTTGACATTTTAGTATTAACAATTTGCATTTAGGTCTTCATATTCTTAGTCTATAGAGGTAAAATCTATAGCCATATTTCATGGTCCATTACACATTTGATTTATGAGGCATAACTCTTGTCCTGAAGTTGCTTGTTATAATGAAGACTTCTTCCATTTCTTTTGATGTCTTCTCTCAGGCTGTATATGGGGTAGGTATGGGAGATACTCATTAACTTTGTTCTGTTGCTTTTACACCCTTAAACTTGAAATTGTCCTATTTAATCATGGGCCAGTTTGGTATGTTCATTGTTGGGGAACAGTTTTTCCTTTGTGAGCAATTTTTTATTATAATATGTATGATTTTAAGACCCACATTTCTGCAAACTTCAAACTTACATAAGTGGCTGTAGATAGCTTAGCTCACGAAAATAATAGTGTGCCGCCTCCAACCCCCAAAAGCTCTTCATATTCAGGAACATCTGCAGTGATTCTACTAATGGTAGAATTCTATTTCACACTCCTGATTGGAAGAATTGGTAAGTAATCCAAATTAAGAAAACAGTGGATCAAATTCAGCATACCTGGGGGGTCAGTCTGTGACTGCTGCATTAGAATGGACATAAAAGTAATGTCGGAATTCGACAGGGTGAATAGTGCGTATGAACTACCATGCAGGACTGTGGTCATTTGTATAGATTAAACATGAAAGGTACAGATAGATTGTTACAGAGACTCGGATTTTGAAGCTTGGTCATTCCCCTCCCCACTCATCCAGTGTGCATGTTCAAAACACAAAGGATTATTTGGTATTTTACTGCTTATGATCCTAACCTGAATTTACCAAAAGAAATGTACATTTATCTAAAAATGGCACCATCCAAACAAAATTCCTTATCAAGCATCTACTAAGATTTGGTGGCAAACAGTATAGGCTGTAGATTCTAACTGCCTGGGTTGACTTCTGACCCTATATCTACCGGTTTTTATTTAAATACCATCTCTGCCTGGTCCCTCCTCCATAAACAGGTATGGTGTCCACTGCGTAAGGGAATGAGGAAGGCTAGATGTGCTATAAAGTGCTTATTATGCCTAGCACGATACCCCAATGTCTTGCTGAACCAAATATTTTCGCTATCCTTACATAGCTCTAGAAATTTGACAAAGAAAATATACTTTATTATCATAGAAGTACTTTTCTTAGGTCTTTCTAAATTCTGAAAAGCATAACAGGTTTACAGATATAATGGAGTGAAAGGACACCTGGTTTTGGGGTCACATTTTGACAGGCTTGCACTGTCATGTCAGGATGAGAATTTAGCCTCAAGAGTTTGTACTGCCTAGAAATGTGCTGACAATGTTACAGTTGAACTTAATACAAAAGATTTTGTTAGATCCCAAAATGTTAAACACATTGAGTAACTATTCTTTAGTTCATTAAGTACAAACTATAGTATGTTCCAAAGAAATGAATTTTTATGGCAAATAAAGCTTTTCCTAAAATTGTTTTAGAAGTCCTTTTGTTGGTAACATTTAAAACATCTCAATGACCGCTCACCAGATTTGCCTGTTGTCTATTCAGACTCTCTTGATATTTCCTTCCTCTTTCAGCGTTTTTTTTTTTTTTTTTTTTTTTTAAGTGCAATTTTCATTGTGGGATCCACCAAATGTTAGTAAAACAAAAAATGAGCATTAATGTTGCACTATAAATCATCAAATTGGATAATGACTAACTAGTCTGTTTTAAGCTGCTGGATACAATTTTCATGGGGATAGGAACTGAAGTACTTCAAATAATGTGAGCTTAAACATGTTACTTCTTTGAAACAACCAAAACTACTTGATGTTTAACATCTAAAATCCTGGTTAAAATAAATTCTAGATTTGGAAAGGGAATTGGCAAAACTAACATTCTTTGTAGCAAAATGTCCCTTAGTAATAGTCAAGTTGACCTCATTTCAGTAGTTCATAAAGGAAAATCCAAAGCCCTCAGCAGTGAATTACCTGACCACATAGTTGATTGTGGTCACTGTAAATCCAGACAAATCACCTAGTACTGGAAGCTCACAGTGGTAGACTTCACTATCACATTACTTTAACTACGGTCACGGATTTCTCAACTGACGTGAACTATTTTAGGAACAATCACAAAGATGACATTCTTCACTGTATTTGCATTTGTAACCACCAAGCAAGTAGGGATCTACCCCTGACGCAAGGTTTGAGGTAAGGTTCAGAGGGACCACTAAAGGGGCAGAGCCGAGTAAAAACATGGATGCCTCCAGTGGACAGTGTAGAATTTCTTGATAAAGCACCTAAAGCTTTAGTTTTAATACTTGAAAAGTTTTAAAAACCCATGCATAAAATGTGGAATACTGGTAAAATACACATATCCCTAGGTCTAGTGAACTAAAATTCCTAGAGTTAATAATTTTCAATAAAAAATCCAGCATAATTATTGTGATACAGGGGTCTTTGGGTAACATCTTAAAAATGAATGCTAGAAAAAGATGCTCAACATCACTAGTTATTAGGGACATAGAATCAAAATACGTCACAGCCATTTGGAGGGCTATTATAAAAAACCCAGAAAATTAGTGTTGGCAAGGATGTGGAGAAACTGGAACATTTGTGCATTGCTGGCGGGAATGTCAAATGGTGCAGCTGCAGTGGAAAAGTTTGGCAGTTCTCAAAAAGTTAAACAATTATCCTGTTGTCTTAGTCATCTGTGTTAACCATAACAGAATACCTGAGACTGGGTAATTTAAAAGAACAAATTTATTTCTCATAGTTCTGAAGACTGAGAAGTCCACGATCAACGTGCTGGCAGACTGGTATCTGTTGAGGACCCAGTCTCAGCTTCTAGGATGGGGCCTGTTGCTGTGTCATCGTATGGTGGAAGGGAATCGAAGGGCAAAAAGGAGGTAATTGGTTCTCTTGAGCCCCTTTATAAAGGCACTAAATCCATTAATGAGGGTGGAGCTCTCATGACATAATCACCCCCTAAAGCCTCACCTCTTAGTAACACATTGGTGGTTGCTTCAACATATGAATTTGGTGGAGAGACATTCAGACCTTAGCATATGTGATCTAGCAATTCCGCTCCTGTATATGTATCCCTAAAGGACCAAAGGGACTTCGAGAGAGATGTGTACACCCATGTTCACAGCATTATTCATAACAGCCAAGAGGAGGAAACAATCAGCAGATGAGTGGTAAACCAAATGCGGTCTATGGATATAATGGCGTATTATTTGGCCATAAAAAGTTTTGGTATTTGCTACCACATGGCTTTTTTCCAGGGAAAGTATTATTTTTTGACAAAACACCTTGATAGGTCATGGTTCTACAAGGCAGAGATGTGCAACAGAAAGCTAACTTGCAAATAATAAAAAGATGGGAGTTCCTTTGAGCTAAAGTGGCAGAGGAGGAAGAGGTTCATCCCTACCCATCTGCCCCCTCATTATTCTGAAGAAAAACAGTAGCCTGACCCTCCAGATCTTTCTTTTCTGGAGGACACTGGGCGAAAATTAGTTGCCCCAGTGACTATTCAAGCAGCTGATGGCTTGCTAAGTAAGAATGCCAGTCACAAAAGGGCAACTCTTGTTTAATCCCATTCATATGAAGGCAAATTCAGAGAGAAAGTGAAGTAGTGGTTACCAGGGTCTGGGGCGAGGGTGGAATTTGGAACTCTTTTTAGGTACAGAGTTTCAGTTTGTGGTGATAAAAAATGCACGTAAGCCGGGTGCGGTGGCTCGCACCTGTAATCCCAGCACTTTGGGAGGCCGAGGTGGGCAGATCACTTGAGGTCGGGAGTTTGAGACCAGCCTGGCCAACATGGTGAAACCCTGTCTCTACTAAAAAATACGAAAATTAGCCGGGCATGGTGGCACACACCTGTAGTCCCAGCTACTTGGAAGGCTAAGGCACAAGAATCGCTTGAACTGGAGAGGCAGAGGTTGTAGCGAGCCGAAATCATGCCACTGCACTCCAGCCTGGGTGACAGAATGAGACTCCGTCTCAAAAAAAAAAAAAAAATCATGTAGACAGTGGACACACCCAGTAACTGATACCCCTGAATTATATGCTTAAAAATGGTTAAAATAGTAGATTTTATATTTTGGCTATCCGCCCTCCCCCCCCAAATAAAACAGGTGAAAAAGGAAGAGCTTAGACGTCAAACAACTAACCTCCCACCTCGGAAGAAAAAAAAAAAAAAAAGCTAGCATGTTCCATGTCATATACAGCAAGGGGAAAATGCATTATTCTCTCAATGGGCGCCTTTCGAAAGACATGCTTAAAGCAAGTGCCCTCCTGCTGCTACAGACAAGTGCAAGGCTGCCTGTGTCAGGACTAAAGGAAGAATACTGAGAACCCCAAGTGATACTAAAAACGTCCTTTGTTGTCCCTGCTGGGTGGAACAGGGCAGAGTGATGTGAATGTGGATTAGCTCCCTCTGGTTGCTGAAAGTGAATTCACAGTTTGTTCTAGTTCCCTTTTAGATGACATTGGAAATGATAAAATTACAGTAGTTGATAAGAGTCAATGGCATATTTTCAAACGTCCTGATGTTCTTTCTCTTCAACTGCCGTAACTAGTCCTAGGTCTGGACTTTTCCTCTCAGAATGCATTCAGATAAACTTTATCAGCAGGTCTGCTATTTTATCACAGTATTTTGGCCAAATCTTTTTTTTTTTTTTTTTGAGACAGGGTCTCGTTCTGTCGCCCAGGCTGCTGGAGTACAGCGGCGTGATCTTGGCTCACTGCAGCCTCGACCTCCCTGATCCTCCCACCTCAGCCTCAAGTAGCTAGACTACAGGCGGGTGCCACCATGCCCAGCTAACTTTTGTATTTTTTGTAGAAATGGGGTTTTGCCATGTTGCCCAGGCTGGTCCGGAACTCCTGAGCTTAAGTGATCCACTCACCTCGATTTCCCAAAGTGCTGGGGTTACAGGTGTGGGCCACCATGCCCAGCCCAGACTTCCTTCTCATCCAGGAAATTCCAAAATGTCTTTACATATATATTCTTATATTGTGTAATATAAGATGCTGAAGTCCATTACTGGCTAGAATAACTAGAAATTGCTTAATATTATTTCACATTGCATTTGAACTTAATCTTCACAGTAACAATTAGGTAGCATTACTTGGAATTCATAGATGAGGAAAACCAAGATACAAAAAGTTCACACAGCCAGTAAGCAGGTGATCCTGACTTCATAGTCATACACAGCCTGGATTGAGTCCCAGCAGGAGCACATGGGCATGGACATCTATCAGATTTGGAAACTGGTGTAGCCAAGCAAGAAATAGGAGACGGTATCAGGAGTTACGATTCCATGCTTAGGACCATCCCAGATGGATGGCTGCCTCCCTCCAGGAGCTGCACTCTTCTGAGGTTGCAGGCATCCAGGGCCAGGGTGCTTCTGTGAGGTGTGCCAGCATGTGCCACTCTGCTGGATACAAGCTATCATGTTCTGAGGGCTGCTTCCCTCAGCATAAGAAGGGGCTTCTGTTGGGATGTGTAGGCTTCTTCGTAGGGTCCACTTGAGTTTTTTCTTTTTTAGAGACAGAGTCTCGCTCCGTCAGCCAGGATGAAGTGCAGTGGCATGATCCCAGCTCAATGCAATCTCCACCTCCTGGGTTCAGGCAATTCTTGTGCCTCAGCTTCCCGAGTAGCTGGGATTACAGGCACATGCCACCACGCCTGTATAATTTATTTTTTGTAGAGACAGAGTTTTCGCCGTTGGCCAGGATGGTCTTGAACTCTTGGGCTCAGTGATCTGCCTGCCTCGACCTCCCACAGTGCTGGAATTACAGGTGTTAGCCATCACACCCAGTCCACTTGAATATATGTGTTAGTCAAGAATAGTTGGCTATACTTTCATCTTTTCCCAGTTCTAAGTGATTGGTTTCAGGATCCAATAAACTCTACAGGTAAATCCATTAAGTAATGGTCTATACCAGTGGTTCCTTGACTGTGCAGAATTACCTGGAAGGCTTCTTAAAACAGATTTCTGCCCCTACCTCCCAGGATTTGATTCAGGCAGCCTGCTGTGGAGCCTGAGAATGTACATTTCTAACAAGTTATCAGGTACTACAGATGCTTCTGTTCTGGAGACTGTGCTGAGAACCACTATGGTGTATCTTTCCAGGGACAGTAAGGATCCCACTAAAAACAAGACAAGAATTCGATTTTTATCAGTTTACTAAATGAACATCTTATGTTTCTATACTATACACTAGCCACTACTTGGTTTATTACTGTTGTGATTATGTTTATGAAACAGGGACATCTTGCATACCCCTAATGGTGTGAATAAAATCAACCGTGTCAGTACCTTTGAGCACTTCATAACTTAAAATTCTAAAAAGTTGAGATTTGGGCCTACAGTTTGCTATTTAACAGACCAGGTCTGGTCTTGACAGTAAAGCCACCATCAAAAGCTGCATTAAGAACCTCATCCAGGCAGCTTGCTGTGACAAAACTTAAATCCTGTCGTACATTGCCTGGGATTCCCTCAAGGTCTTTTTCATTTCTCCTAGGAATAATGACTTGCTTCAGTCCCGCTCTGTGTGCCGCCAGCACTTTGTCTTTAATTCCACCCACCTGTAAGGAGAGAAAAACGTTTTTAGGGTTAATGATCACCCTCAAGCTGAAAGAAATCCTGACCCAGCTTGCTTTCACTGAATTTACTACTATTTTAAAACATCCAAATCATCTTCCATTTTGTTACTGTATGAGCTAGGAAAGCCAGGAAAAAGGTTGGCAAGTAGTAACCTTTTTAAAATGTTTCAATTGGTGTTGTATTAAAGACTCTGATCGGGGGGCGGATTTTAAATTGTTCATAGGTATGAGTTCCCCTTCGGTCAATGATTCTTTTTATAAATACTGTCAAAGTAAACATTGGCATTCCAGGTGTAATCACAACCATCTTGTCTTTAGGTTGATCTGAAAAAGCAGCACGTGATTCTGACCATGCATGAGCGCCGCTCCTGCAGAGCTTAGCTGTGTGCTGGAGTTACTTCCCTCTCTACAGGTTTAAAGCCAGGACTTCCGTGCTGGTAAAACATATCCCCAAACGAGGCTCCTATGGTGGCTTTCAAACATGTCTACAATGGTCCCCCGGCTTGAATGTGGGCCAGGCTTTGTGACTTGGTAAGAAACAGAGTGTGGTGGGAGTGATGCTATATGAGCTCCACAGCTGAGTCACACAAAATGAGAGCTGCTGCCTGGATCTCTCTTGATCACCTGCCCTGGAGGTGGCCAGTCATCATGTCTGAGGTCACTCAAGCAGCCTATGGGCAGGCCCATCAGGTGAGGAACTGGGGCCTCCTGCCACCAAACAAGACCAATTTGCCAGTTACATGAGTCAACCACCGTGGAAGCAACTTCTCCAGCCTGTCAGCCCTCACGTGACTGTGGCCTGGCTGGAACCTAAACTGTAAGCCTAGAGACCCTGGGCCACAGGAACCCAGCTCAGCCTCTCCTTAATTCCTAGCCCACAGAAACATGGAGAGTATGAAGTATTCTTGCTTTGGGGTAATGTGTTGCGCAGCAATTGCTCACAAATACTGCTCTCAGTCACAGCACCCAGCATATGCACGCCCTGGAGACAGCCCTCTGGGAGCCCTCTGAGCATCTGTTCCAATTAAGACTGGTTGCTCCAGGCCTTCCTGCCCCACTGGCATCTTCTTTCAAGGTTTTCTTCATGCTGCTGAAGTACTCCTTCAAAATACCCTCTTCAAAAGAGTGTAAGATGAACTGATGCCTTGCATATTTGAAAATATTTTACTTTCACACTTGATTGATAGTAAGGCCATGTATATAAGACTAGATTTAAAACATTTTCCCTCACAGCTTTCATTACTTTTTTTTTTTTTTTTTGAGACAGTCTCTCTCTGTCACCCAAGCTAGAGTGCAGTGGCATGATCTTGGCTCACTGCAACTTCTGCCTCCCAGGTCCAAGCGATTCTCCTGCCTCAGCCTCCCGAGTAGCTGGGATTACAGGCATGTGCCAACACATCTGGATAATTTTTTGTATTTTTAGTAGAGACAGGGTTTCACTATGTTGGCCAGACTAGTCTCAAACTCCTGACCTCAAGTGATCCGCCCACCCTGGCCTCCCAAAGTGTTGGAGTTACAGGCGTGAGCCACCACACCCAGCCTCATTACTATTTTTAAAACAATTTTTTGTAGAGATGAAGTCTCACTATATTTCCCAGGCCGGTCTTGAACTCCTGGACTTAAGCTATCCTCCTGTTTAGCCTCCCAAAGTGCTGGGATTACAGACATCATTCGCCGCACCCGGCCCATTTTCCCTCATAATTTTGAAAGTACTGCACATCCAGTGTCAGTGCTGAGGCCACTTTACCCTCAGTGATCTGAAAAGTCAAGAGGATGAAATGTTTTTCCTGGTTAGTAATGGTCCTTTCGATCTGAAGATGCCTAACTTTTAGGAAATGTTCAATTATTTCTTGGATAATTTGTTCCATTTCATCTTCCTGTTAGAACTCCTTTTAGATGCTGGAGTTCTAACAATTGTTAGAACAAATTGTTTTTCACTATAGTTTTTTCCTGAATAATTCTCTGACCACTTTTAAATCTCAAAGCCCCGTCTTGTCCTCTGTTCTCGAAAGAGGTTTTCTCCAGCCTTCGCAGGCCTTTCCTTCAAGTGCTCCTGCTTTCCGTCCTGCCTCTTGTAATAGTCTGGAGCTGAAGGTGTACTCCAGGCCGCTGTGGCTGTCCTCTCCTGAGGCTGTGGAAGCCTTTACTTGGGCTACGATTTGCTCTGAGAGGGGACCAAGTAGAAAACCCATTTGTTCTACAGAGGTTCTAAAAATAGAAAAAAGTATCCGGGCGTGGTGGTGCACACTTGTAATCCCAGCTAGTTGAGAGACTGAGGCAGAAGAATCACTTCAACTTGGGAGGCAGAGGTTGCAGTGAGCCAAGATTGTGCCACTGTACTCCAGCCTGGGCAACAGAGCCAGACTCCATCTCAATAGGAAAAAAAAAAGACTATTTCCTTTTTTTTTCCTTATCTTGCTATGAACCTGCCAAAATCTTGTTGTAGACTAAATTGTTGTCTAGTCTGTTGTAGACTAATACTGGCAACTAATAACTTAAAATCTAAATACTCTTAAGTTCTGTACATTTTATCACAATATTTTTATAAGCAGTTTAGGATCTGGAGCCTCAAGACCCCACATGTATAGAACCTTTTCAAAATGTAGTCATTAGATACGGTTAATGTTTATTAGAGTTTCCATTCTATACTAGCAAAGTTTTCTGCAGGGGGAGAGGAGGTCTCAAAGAAACTTCAAATTTAAGAAATGGGCTTAAAATTTAAAAAAAGCTACTATCCTATTTTGCACACGTGCTATATCTTTAACAATTTGTCAAGTAGAACAAGGCCTCAAATTTTCATGTGAACTGCCGGTATTTCTGATGACCACACTAATATTTTCTCCCTTAGCAAATCTTCTTAGAATGGAAAACGGGCTGAATGCGGGGGCTCACGCCTGTAATCCCAGCACTTTGGGAGGTGGAGATGAGAGAACTGCATGAGGCCTGGAGTTTGAGACAAGCCTGGACAACACAGAGAGACCCTGTCTCTACACAAAATAAAATAAATTAGCTGAGCATGGTGGCGTGCTCCTATAGTCCCAACTATTTGGGAGACAGACAGGAGGATCGCTTGAGCCCAGGAGTTGGAGGCTACAGTGAGCTACAATCACACCACTGCACTCCAGCCTGGGCAACAGAATGAAACCTATTTCAAAAAAAAAAAAGAAGGGAAAATGTGAAAAATTGTCAGTTTTTATTTGATCAAAAATTTAAAATATGAATTAGTTACAGGTATAAAAATTTAATATATACTTAAAACCAAGGTTTTCATAGAAGGCAAAACCCCTATTTAAAAATAATATTAATTTTAAAAAATTAAATAAAAAATAAAAACCATATAAATTGGTTTTTTCATACTTACTGGAAGAACAAGACCTCTCAGTGTAATTTCTCCAGTCATGGCTACATCTGAACGTACCAGCCGCCCACTAAAAAGTGAGGCGAGACAGGTTACTATGGTAACTCCAGCAGATGGTCCATCTTTTGTGACAGCTCCAGCTGGGAAGTGCAGATGGATGTCTGTGTTGTCAAGAAGATCAAAACTTCCAAAAGCTTTAAAAAGGAAAAAAGGACTTTAATGTAGAAAAATTAAACCTGTTTTCTTTTTCTCCTAAAAAAAAAAGTCACAAACAAAAATGAATGTTTAGGGTAAATGAATTCTTCAAAATATTAGTGGAGAGTACAATTTGAGTGAGGGTCTAGAAGAATAGTTCCACTCGAAGTCGGATTAAAACAAAATAAACCTTTTGAATTAGTTTCTAGTTCAGGCACTAGTCAAATAGTCCTGAAATGGGAACTAGAATTTCCACAGGGGTTCAAAAGCAACAGTGTGTACTTCGCTAGAGGCGTAACTAGCAGTCTCGAGCTCATGCCAGTCTCCGCCATGGAATGGTGTCACCTCCTGGGTCATGCCTGCCTGGCCGGGTGCACCTACCGTTAGTCAGCTGGTACTTCTTTGCGTTGCTGCGCAGCCAGCTGATAGCGAGGTGGGCGGACTCCTTCATCACGTCCCCGAGCTGGCCGGTCAGAGTTAACTGGCCCTCGCCATCCATTCGACTCGCCTCCACGAACATGATTTCTCCACCTAAGGGAGTCCAAGCCAAACCTATTGCTACTCCTGGCTGACTCAAACGCTGAGATACCTTGAAAGAAGAAGAATGATCAGAGTTGGGCTGGCAAATGCCGAAGTGTTTGCAGGTGACTGATACCACACAATCCTGCAAGAGTTGGCTGATTTCACAGAGGACTTCAGCCACTTACCTCAAAGTCCTTGTTATCTAACATCATTCTGAGTCACATTCAGCACTTACTCTCTGGCTTTCTGCCAGGAGAAAGACCTAAACTTCCTCTTTGACATTTATCAGAAGCAATTTTACCTTAAAACATATGTAAATAACTTTGCTTTTTATAAGCCAGATCTAGTTACACATGCCCTAGTTTTCAAGGAATAAACCCAATAGTTTTATCTAAGTGTCTTTATTGGGCTGCAAATATGTGTATATATTTTGAGACAGTCTCACTCCACTGCCCAGGCTGAAGTGCAGTGACATAATTTCAGCTCACTGAAACCTCTGCCTCCTGGCTTCAAGTGATTCTCCTGCCTCTGCCTCCCAAGTGGCTGGTACTATGGGTGCATACAGGCCACCACACCCAGCTAATTTTTGTATTTTTTGTAGAGATGTGTCACCGTGTTGGCCAGGCTGGTCTGAAACTCCTGACCTCAAGTGATCTGCCCGCCTCAACCTCCCAAAGTGCTGAGATTACAGGTGTAAGCCACCGCACCCAGCCTATTGGGCTGCATATTTATATATACTTCATAACCTAGCTTCATTTTAGGTAATCATGAATTTGTTTCAAAAAGTGGAAATCCTCTTATTAGCAGACCTTTAAGAAGAGTGAACTTGGCCAGGCACAGTGGCTCATGCCTATAATCCCAGTACTTTGGGAGGCTGAGGCGAGGACCGCTTGGTCCCAGGAGTTCGATAGAGACCAGCCTGGGCAACATGGTGAGACCCTGTCTCTTATTATTATTTTTTTTTTAGAAAGAAAAGTGAGAAGGATTATATTAGAAACTCTAGATTTTACTTCTCCACCGCTTACCTTTAACTTTCTCTGTTACTGCTGCAGAGACTATACAATACTACATAATAAACATCCTGGGTTCTTTCCCATGGGATGAGAGGTCCACTGTACTGCCTGCCATCTTAAATTGAACATGTTGTCACCTGAGATTAGGAGCATAGGTGATGGGCCATAGGTTAACACATCCAAGTTATGAAAACACTAAAAAGTAACAGTGGAAAATCAGTAATGTTAATTCTCAATGCACCCTTTGAGCTTTAAAATTTCCTACCCATTAGAAGTTACTCATGTTAGAGGAACTGAACACAATAGGTCAACTAAGCATGAATCCAAACAGGAGATGTTTCTACTGAGAGCTGACCTCACTAAGGAACAGCAGTATACAGCCTGACTTTCTGGGTAAGGGGCTGGGTTGCTTCTTTTTCTAAGGGGCTTGGACAATGAAAATCCTGATTGTAAAAATTACTCCAGAATTGTGTGGCATCCACTGAAGCTACTGGGCACTTCTTTTCCTTTTTTTTTTTTTTTGAGATACGAGTGTCTGTCATCCGGGCTGGAGTGCAATGGCGCAATCTCGGCTCAACGAAACCTCCGCCTCCTGGGTTCAAGCGATTCTCCTGCCTCAGGCTCCGAGTAGCTGGGATTACAGGCATGTGCCACCACATCCAGCTAATTTTTGTATTTTTAGTAGAGATGGTGATTTGCCATGTTGGCCAGTCTGGTCTCAAACTCCTGACTTCAAGTGATCTGCCAGCCTCGGCCTCCCAAAGCGCTGGGATTACAGGCGTGAGCACTGTGCCTGGCTGAGCACTTATTTTCAGTAGTAAACATACATTAAAAAAAATTAATCCTAATTAACTTCATTTGACAGGTTAGAGATTTGACAGGCCAAACTCCAGCATCATTGAGCTGACAGCATGAACCTCAGGTCACGCTTTCCTCGAGCTTTGCCACTTGCCCTGTTGTATACTAACTTGAGGAGAAAGACACAAAAGATCTGTATGTAAGAGATCAGTACTACTTACAGAAAATCATGAAACAGTTATTTAAAAAACTGTTCACAAGGTTTGTTTTTTCTAATATAAAATCAATTCTCTATACCTGAACGACATACATCTAATTTGGGTGGGAATTTGTCACCCAAATTAGACTTCATTCAGGCTCCTTTCTGGGGTTGGGTGACTGAATCGTGTTTAACACAAAAGGTCATTTGGTACAATTTTGTTACCTCTACCAAGAATAATCCCTTTCTTATATTTGAATCCTCAAAATTCACTTGTCAAAATAATACCAAAAGTATCTCCAAAGAAGCAGTAGTAAGATTTTTTTTTTTTTTTTTTGAGACAGAGTTCTTGCTCTGTAGCCCAGGCTAGAAGCGCAGAGGCATGATCTCAGCTCACTGCAACCTCTGCCTCCCAGTTCAAGCAATTCTGTTGCCTCAGCTTCCCAATACAAAAATTGCCTGGCTAATTTTTGTATTTTTAGTAAGACGGCTTTCACCACGTTGGCCAGGCTGGTCTTGAACTCCTGACCTCAAGTGATCTGCCTCCTTGGCCTCCCAAAGTGTTGGGATTACAAGCATTAGTGACCACGCCCAGCCACATTGTTGTTTTGTTTTGAGACAGAGTCTCACTCTGTCACCCAGGCTGGAGTGCAGTGGTGCAATCTTGGCTCACTGCAACTGCCTCCCGGGCTCAGGTGATCTCCCACCTCAGCTCCCGAGTAGATGGGACTACAGGCACCCACGACCATGCCCAGCTAATTTCTGTATTTCTTTGTAGAGATGGGGTTTCACAATGTTGCCCAGGCTGGTCTTGAACTCCTGGGCTTGAGCAATCTTCCCATCTTGGCCTCCTAAATTGCTGGGATTGCAGGCATGAGCCACCATGCCCGGCCAAGATCTTACTGATTACTGTTGCTTCAAGAAGCCAAGCCAGTTTCCAGTATTCCCCATTTGCGGGAGAGTCTTGGTACTTTGGATAGAAGCAACTGGTAAATTGTTAATTGGAAGGGTAGGTGGTGTAGAGAACTACGTATAGCCAAACCTAGAGCATCTAGGCTTACAATTACTATCCTGACTTGATAACAAGTGTTCTGATATTAACCTGAAAAGAGAGTAATGCCAAATTTGTGTAACTTAACGTCTACATATACAGGGTGGAGAACTGAAGTTATTATCAAACCTGGAATCTCTATGATCAAGGCTAACAGTAGTTATCTAAGAAGCAAAGGACCTACAATTCTTAGACTTGGAGTCATATTCTTTAAGGACGTGTTCTGAAACTGTAACAATCAAGCATCTGGTTTCCATGTATTTCTCCCTCAGAAATGATAAAGTACAAGTAAATATGGAGGTACGGGATAAGACACATGCTGCTTTCTTGCTCTTGAATGGAGACAGTTTTCCAGCCATCTTAACCCCTTTACACAAAACAATTTGTGTTTTATAGCAAATAAGCGACTCAACATAATTTCAACATGGTGTTTATCCACCAGTATTTTCCTTTCAGCTTCTAGTCCCATGACAGGTTTGTGAAGTCATCAGTTACATTAGCCAAGACAGGCCTAGACTTGAAGTCTAGAATGTTTTTCCCACTATATGCCAAAGTAGAATGTGGGTATCTCAGGGTCATTTTTGTTGTTCAATTTCCCACCTGTACAATTGTTATGATTCAGTTTTCTTTTGTGTCTAATAAATCTTGTTCCATGAAATGATCAATTTCTTCTGAAATAATTCTGTCAATAAGGTAAATATGCAGATTAAGGAAGAATTTAAACTAAGTAAAAATCTAAAAATAGAATGTGTCTTCTAATGTATGATTGCATTCTTAATACATCAATGCTATTAGTTTTTAAAGAACATTTGGAGTATCTAATCATTGATAATTTCACACTACTCTTCCCTCTTAACTAAAAATAGTGATATTTGATTGAAATCTTAAGTATGCACAACTCTTTGTGACCCTTTCAAGCCTAGACCAACATGTATAGACCCATCAGAGGGACCCATATTTGACATTCATTCAACAGTCCTTTCCAAGCATCCTGATGCAGGCTCTGTTACAGGCCATGGGGACATAAGCATGAATACCTCCCGGCACTGAGAGACTGAAGGCATCAGACACAGGAGCAGTTATATTCCAGTGTGGGGAGCCCTGAAGAGGCAAGGGTCCCTCCCTGTCTGGAGAGAAGACACAGGTGTCACAGGAGAGGCTGAGTCTTAAAATACGAGTAGGAGTTTGCCAGCAGATGCCAAGGAATGGAGATATGAAGAATTTTGTAGGCCTTCTTTCCAAGGACAAGCCTGGCGTCACGTGAGACACAGAACCTGAGCTGCCAAATTGCTGTGGTGTGCAGGTTGCCCTGTAGTGGTGTTCACACCATCAACTGGTTTCTTTTGTAGCTCACAGAGCACTTGGAATGCTCCTGCCAGGGCTGTCACCACAGAAGCGATCCATCTGGCAACCTCTTTAAAGTCTTAGTACTGAGATCCCAAGTCTTGAATTCATGAATATTTGATTTTTCTAGTTGTAGATTTGTTTCAGTAGCATTCAGAAATGGGAAGAGCAGATTCTACATCCCTCGGAGAGGTGCTGGGGTCCACCACTGTCATCTCTTAAGCAGCATTATGCAGCCCCAGGCTGGCCTGACACTTGCATTGCTGAGAACCAGCTGCTCTCCAATCCTTCCAGTAAGGCTGGCACAATGGCGGGTTCCTGCCGGGGCCTGGGACCAGACTGAACATGCAGCATCAGTGCTGCCCTCAACAGGTGGCACAGCAGGTTTATATGGAGCAGCACGGAGAAGTAATTTACTACCATGATTCTTTGGGGCATTTAGTTGGTGTTTAGACTCTTTCTCAGTTCTAGCAGCTGAGTTTGTTTGCTTGAAAGGCAAGCATGATGATAGAATCTCCTGGAATTCGCTTCTGGATGCATTCTATTCGGGAGGCTTTAAAGTGTCTTCGTATCTATCCTCTTCTTCATTATTTTCTCAGAGCAAGTAACTTTTAGACAAGGGCTTTTCATACAGCATGGTCAGAAGCCAACACTGAGGCTTT